CGATCCATGTCTGAACCGTGAACGGTTCAGGTCTGAACCGAGAACGTTTCAGGTTTGAACCGTGAACTTCTTCACGGTTCAAGGTTTGAACCGAGAATGGTCCAGGTCTGAACCGTGAACGGTCCAGGTCTGAACCGAGAATGGTCCAGGTTTGAACCGTGAACGATCCATGTCTGAACCGTTAACGGTCCACGTCTGAACCGTGAACGGTACAGGTCTGTACCGAGAATGTTCCAGGTTTGAACCGTGAACGATCCATGCCTGAACCGTGAACGGTCCAGGTCTGAACCGAGAATGTTCCAGGTTTGAACCGTGAACTAATTCATGGTTCAATTTTTGAACCGAGAATGGTCCAGGTCTGAACCGTGAACGGTCCAGGTCTGAACCGAGAATGGTCCAGGTTTGAACTGTGAACGATCCATGTCTGATCCGTGAACGGTCCAGGTTTGAACCGAGAATGGTCCATGTAAAGGAATAGTGATTAATATATATGGTCCCCAGAACTTAAACTATGTAACATTGGTAACAATTGCTGAAGGTACATTTCTGGCCATAGAAAGAAATTATCTCAAGTGTTTTAGTTACATTTCTTTTTGTATGTTCATTAAAAAGAATTACATGAAGCAATTTATCACAATTTCATTAAAAGAGTAACGAAAATAAGCGCAAATGTAAACAATTTTAGGTTAAGTGTTAAGGATATCAAATCACGCTTCAAGGATATCAAGGAAAGCCTTAAAGATATTAGGGCAAGCGTAAAGGATATTAGAGCAAGCGTAAGGAATATTAGGGCAAGCGTAAGGGATATTAGGGCAAGCGTAAGAAATATGAGGGCAAGCGTAAGGGTTATTAGGGCAAGCGTAAGGAATATTAGGGCAAGCGTAAGGGATATTAGGGCAAGCGTAAGAAATATGAGGGCAAGCGTAAGGGATATTAGGGCAAGCGTAAGGGATATTAGGGCAGGCGTAAGGGATTTTAGGGCAAGCGTAAGGGATATTAGGGCAAGCGTAAGAAATATGAGGGCAAGCGTAAGGGATATTAGGGCAAGCGTAAGGGATATTAGGGCAGGCGTAAGGGATTTTAGGGCAAGCGTAAGGAATATGAGGGCAAGCGTAAGGAATATTAGGGCAAGCATAAAAGATATTAGGGCAAGCGTAAGGGATATTAGGGCAAGCGTATGGAATATTAGGGCAAGCGTAATGGATATTAGGGCAGCGTAAGGGATATTAGGGCAGGCGTAAGGGATATTAGGGAAGGTGTGGAGGATTTACGCCAAAGTTAACAGACTTTGATGGACAAGAGCAAACTTGTGGCTCGACGCGCGCCCGCTCTGGCGGAAATTTTTCGCTTACTCAGCGAAATGGAAAATTCTTATCGACCCCTGCCGGCCGCCGTCGGTTCAGAGCCGGCATCTTCGGTTCACAGCCAGCATTGTTGGTTCATGGCCGGCTGTTGTCGGTTCACGGCCGGCCGCCGTCGGTTCACGGCCAGCCACCGTCGGTTCATGGCCGGCTGCTGTCGGTTCACGGCCGGCCGCCGTCGATCCATGGCCAGCCGCCGTCGGTTCGTGGCCGGCTGCTGTCGGTTCACGTCCGGCCGTCGTCGGGTCATGGCCGGCGTTGTCGGTTCATGGCCAGCGTTGTCGGTTCATGGCCCGCGTTGTCGGTTCCTGGCCCGCGTTGTCGGTTCATGGCTAGCATCCGGCGGTTCATGGCAGGCAGCCGTCGGTTTCTGGCTGGCGGTCGTCGGTTTATGACCGGCAGCCGACGGTTCATGGCCGGCATTGTCGGTTCATGGCCGGCCGCCGTCGGTTCATGGCTGGCTGCGGTCGGTTCATGACCGGCGTTGTCGGTTCATGACCGGCGTTGTCGGTTCACGGCCGGTTGCAGTCGGTTCATGGCCGGCTGCTGTCGGTTCATGACCGGAGTTGTCGGTTCATGACCGGCGTTGTCGGTTCATGACCGGCGTTGCCGATTCACGGCCGGCCATCTCCGCCTTATGGCCGGCCACATGAGCGGTCTTCACATTCGGCAAACCCCGACGCCCGGTTTTTGCTTGGATCGCTTCGTTAACTTGTTAACTTTTTACATTACCTGTTGGATGCACGAGAAAAACTTTTAGAGCTGGCTGGGGATTAACTGTAATTTTTCGAAAGCTTCGCCGAAAACAATGTTCTTCCTTATATTAAGCACATTTCTGTCGAGAAATATCTTTCTAAAGCTCCTCGGGAAGTTTTTTCACGTAAATCAACCAAGCATTTCTTGTTTTACGAAATATTTCTTAGGGTAACTAAGTAGTTATTAATTTAATTTTTGAAGGCTGTCCTACGTACGAGTTTCTCGGTCTTTTATTTACCGAATTCTAAATTTGAAACAAATATTTCACAACTTTATTATGGATATTTTGCAGGAAATTTTGACTCCACTTCTGTCGAATATTGCAAACAAAATTCACGAGTTCTATTGTCTTCGACGTAGCTTTGACCAATGATCGAATTTTTTCGCGTGACATAACCTCTTAACGCATTGCATATTTTCCTTAGATTTAACTTACTTAATTTAGCATTTAACAGGCGAGATCCTGCAATTTCTTACAAAATATTTTATATTTTATATAAATTTTATCATTTTAGTATAAAACAAATTAGATTCTAGGAACATAGTGAATTTAGATATTTTCTAACCTACTGTACAATAAAATTAGATTTTGTAGGCCATCTATCGTGTTATTTAATTTTGAATAATAAAAACTGCCTCAAATTTGACCCGCAAATTGCCATTCAAATTGAACGGTCGTCGCTCTGCGGCAAGGAATAATTTCTTGAATGTCCGGCACCCTAACTCGACGTTACCGGGATATATCATAACGGAGATTTAGGAATCCCATGGTGCCGAACACGGTAATCGGAATACCGTCGTTTTGTATTGGATTCCGTCATCCCGGATACCGACGCTCCGGTTTCCATAATCCCGAATACGGTCATTCTGGATTCAATCATCCCGAATACCGTCATTCTGGATGCCAGCATCCCGAATGCCATCGTTCCGGATTCGATGATTCCGGATCCCTTCATTCTGAATCCTCTCATCCTGAATACCGCCATCCTAAATTCTGTCAACCTGAATTTCGTCATCGTGAATCTTGCCAGCATGAATCAGGCCGTCCTGAATGATAATTAACAATTATCAGTATTAATTATGATAATCTAAAAAGCTCTATTCAACCCACGCAACGGCGTATATTTATCTAATTTCCCATTCGTAATATTTACAAAACTTATATACATCAACAACTGCCAACAAATATATATGAGAATGTATAATTCATAATAGTATAAGTTAACCAAACCTATGACATTACCGTGCATGCTCGGATTAATCTAAATTAACTGCGAGACGATATTTTTTATTCGTCATTAGAATTTCAATTACAGTTATTAAATTAAGAATAGGATTCTACTTGGCATCTACATAGCATCTGTTTAGTATCTGCTTGGCATCTACTACGTATCTACTCAGCATCTACTCGGGATCTACTTGTCATCTGCTTGGCATCTACTAGGTATCTACTCGGCATCTACTAGGCATCGACAGTCGAATGTCATAAAGTCTGCGGGGTTTACTCCTGGAATTTCATTTACTCGGCGCTGGAATGGATGCGATTAAAGTTACGAGATCGACGTTAGAAAGTTGTTTCATTAATGCATAGCATATTGTGGGGCTGTTTAGGACTTGTTAGGACTTTGTGGGCTGCTTTAGGACTTGTTAGGACTATGTAGGCTGCCCTATGACTTGTTAGGACTTGTTGGGCTGCTGTTGGACTTATTAGTACTCGGTGTCTGCCTTAAGACTTGTTAAGACTTCGATGGCTGCTTTAAGACTTATTAGAACTTGGTGGGCTGCTTTAAGATTTGTCAGGACTTGGTGGGCTGCTTTAGGTCTTGTCAGGACTTGGTTGGCTGCTTTAGGACTTTTCAGGACTTGGTTGGCTACTTTAGGACTTGTCAGGACTTGGTGGGCTGCTCTAGGACTTGGTGGGCTGCTTTAGGACTTGTCAGGACTTGGTGGGCTGCTTTAGGACTTGTCAGGACTTGGTTGGCTGCTTTAGGACTTGTCAGGACTTGATTGGCTGCTTTATGACTTGTCAGGACTTGGTGGGCTGCTCTAGGACTTGGTGGGCTGCTTTAGGACTTGGTGGGCTGCTTTAAGATTTGTCAGGACTTGGTGGGCTGCTTTAGGACTTGTCAGGACTTGGTGGGCTGCTCTAGGACTTGGTGGGCTGCTTTAGGACTTGGTGGGCTGCTTTAATGTTCTCAGTCATTCCTACCATCATATATTCATGTTCTCAGTCATTCTTGTCATCCCGTAGTCATGTTTTCAGTTATACCTGAGAAATGGTTACCTTTTACAAGAATTTTGTCTAGCATTCCCAGTAAGTCGTCTATCATCCTCAATAATATCGACAATCATCCCCAAGAATTTGCCTAGAATTTTCAATATATCGTCTAGAATCCCCAAAAATGTCCTCTAGCATTTCCAATAATTTTGTCTATATCATTCCTAAGAATTTGTCCATCATCCCTAAGAATTTTGTCTAGTATTCCCAATAATTTTTTCTAGGCGTCCCACGAATTTCATAAAGCATTCCTCGCTATCTATACATGGCAATGTACCGCATTATCATAATTTAACTAGGTGGATTATTTTGGCGATAAAATCGTTGTGGCGAACTGACAAGCTGCAGGCAATGGCAGCCGCCCATCTTGCTTTTATTATTGCATCATCATAGTTAATACCACACAAAATCACATTACCTACAATAACTATTCAATTTATTGAGCTATTTTTCAGATAAAATAATCATGGCAAACTGACAAGCTGCAGGCGATGGCGGCCGCCCAACTTTCTTTTATCGTTTCATCACCATAATTAATCCCACACAAAATCACATTACCTACAATAATTATTCAATTTATTTCATTAATTTTCAGATAAAATCATCATGGCGAACTGACAAGCTGCAGGCAATGGCAGCCGCTCTGCTGCTGCTGCTGGGGTGCGCGTGCCTGACGCACGAAGCGGCCAGCCAGCGCGTCCCAGACCCCAATGACCTCCTCATGAACGACCTCCTCCCTTACGCTGTAACCAAGCGAGACTTGGAATCTAATCAGTTCGTGCCAGCCTACCGACGTCTCGGTGAACCTTCATGTGAGGAATTAAGGGCAATGTGGCGTTTAGGCAAAAGGGAAGCTCGCCGCGCGACTTCCACGAACCATCTGCCACGCGCTCTGCCCTACCGCTATGGCAGGATCAGGGCCTTTGCCCCTCCCGCAACCTACGGCCTACGGGCTCATAGTTTCGGGGCTATGAAGTTCGATGACCGTCATCGTCATGGGTACAGACTCCCCCAAACTGGGGCTTTCAACAACCTTAGGTCCATGGTTGGTGGTCGACGGATCGGAGCCATGAGCGAACTACGCGACGCGGTCGCCAAGGAGAGAACCGCGGCACCCGAGGATACGCCGCGTGGGCAGTACGACAACTTGAGAGGCATCCTAATGAAGGAGTACGACGAGGCCCAACAACAGCAACAACAGCAGCCGGTGGCTTTGAGTTTGCGTGCACGGGATGATGGATCTCAGATATCCAGTCGTAGGGATCCCTTGATGCCCCTGAGGGAGCCGCGGTACCAAGAGAAAGGATTCACAGGATTGCTTTTGGCCGGTGACCCCAGGCTGTCCGCGGAAGGGAACAACCGGCAACTGTGGACTCCGTCGCTGGACACAATTCCGTACGATGCTGTGAGTACACATTTGCTTCCAAGATCATGTTTCACACGCATGTAACTAAGTGGTTCACACGTCTGTCAATAAGTGATTCACACGCCTGTCAATACGAGGCTCACACATCTGTCAATAAATGGTGCACAAGCCAGTCACTACGTGATACACACCTGTCACTAAGAGGTTATCAGTATTTACAATATGTCTACCATTACATAGTTTCCATGTATGGCCGTTAAAATCCGGCATTGAATAGTTTTTGCCAATTTGACGTCACAAGCTGTAGCTATTTACGTGATAAGAAGCATCATCTTGGTAGAAATGTAAAGCCATTGCATCTACGTCACTTTACCCATAAGAAATCAAACGTTGAAGCTAGGTTCAATTATATGTCGTTTATTTGAAACAGCGTTGATGAAACGGTGTTTGGTTCAGCTAACATTAATGAAACGTTGTTTGGTTGAATCAACGTTTTTGAGACGTTGTTTGGTTGAATCAGCATTGATTCTTACGTTCCTTGGCTCAGCTAACGTTGATGAAACGTTGTTTGGTTGATTCGGCGTTGATGAAACGTTGTTTAGTTGAATCAGCGTTGATGAAACGTTAATTGGTTCAGCTAACATTAACGACACGTTGTTTGGTTGAATCAAGTTTGATGAAAAAATGCATGAACCTCACTTGCACGGTATGCATCGGCTAACGTGACGTCATCACCGGGCAGAGGGACTGCGCGTTGGTGCGCATGCGCGGCTGCCACAGCGACAGCGAGTGCGCCTGCGCGGGCCAGTTCCTGTGCTCCGACTTCCGCTGCGTAGTCCTGCCGCAGGGTGGGTAACTCCTGCATATTCTTAATGGCCTTTTCAATTTATACGTTATAAATCCTACGTATTCTTAATGGACTTTACAATTTATACGCTATAAATCCTACATATTCTTAATGACTTTACAATCCATACGATATAAATCTTAAATGTTCTTAATGGCTTTACGTTATATACGTTATAAATCTTACCTATTCTTTATGACCTTACGTTTTATTTGGTTTAAATCCTACTTACTTTATATATGTTATAAATCCTACATATTCTTTATGACCTTACGTTGTATACGTTATATATTCTAAATAGTCTTAAAGTCGTCACATTCTACAGTGTTATAAATACTTAATATTCTTAGAGTCTTTACGTTTTATACGTCATAAATCCCATATAATCTTAATGAATTTAAGTTATATAAGTTTAAAATCCTATATTTATTTTATGTTCTTGCGTTATATACTTTATAACGCCTACTTTTTACAGTCTTTACGTTATTTACGTTGTAAATCTTATATTTCGTAAACACTTTTACGTTTTATACGTTGCAAATCCTACACTCCCCTAAAGTCATTGCATTTTTTAAGTATAACTCCTATATTTCATTTGCGTCTTTACGTCCTATAGGTTATAACCCCAAATATTTCTTTTACGTCTTCACCTCTATACTTTATAACTTCTTATTTCAATAACGTCTTTACGCTATATACGCTATATCTCCTCTTCTTCCTTAGCGTCCCTCCATTGTATACGCTATAAATCCTATATTTTATGTAATTCGTTTCATAACTGGCGCTATATATTGCAGCGCCAGGCATCAAACACGCGAACTTTGACAAGTTTATGGAAGATTATAAACCCCATAAACCCTCATAACCTATTATATATTTGTCAAAGTTCGGTTGTTGTGCGTCTGACGCCGCAATATATAGGGGCTGTTGGGGCGCGCATCCAGGATACTTATCGTGTCGGGATATTGTATATAGGGGCTGTTGGGGCGCGTATCCAGGATACTTATCGTGTCGGGATATTGTATATAGGGGCTGTTGGGGCGCGTATCCAGGATACTTATATCGTGTCGGGATATTGAAAATTTATTCGTGGTGGAGGAATAGCGAGACATTGCTTAACTGGGGACCGAAGAAAGTGAATTCTAAAATAAAAATGAGATTCTTGTTTCTTGTAGGTAAAAATTAAAATTTCTTTATAATTTAAATTGAGTGTTAACCGTGATGAACACCAGTTTACCGTCTCAACTGACAGGTTCAGTTGACCAGTTCGGCATTTGGTACCATGGAGCGCTGCCCCCTGCACTGCTGAGAGACTGGCCTGTGCCGCCTGAGGGACTCGACTGAACTTACTGATAAGTCCACCTTCTACTGAACCGGTCGCCCCCTTTACTGAATTCTACCTTCTACTGAACCGGTCGCCCTCTTTACTGAACTCTACTCTCTGCTGAACCGGTCGCCTCCTTTACTGAATTCTACCTTCTACTGAATTAGTCACTCCTCTCTACTGAAAATTAGACGTTTTATTCCATGTCAAAAGTGAACATTTGCCTATTAATAACATTATTTATATGCAACAGTTGAAATATGGTAATAACCAGCCAATTGGGCACAACCTAGGTCATAGTATGAGAACTTTGTAAACTGGACACCAAGAAGGAACATTGTATGACTCAAACATTTTCCTCAAAATATTATTCATATTTAACTTATGTTGGCCAGATAATAAAGATGAAACCCCAACATTGTTGTGTTCAAAAAGTTGCGTACAACATGCAAGTGCTCGTCATACATTACGTGTATGGTGACCGTATACATGCATGCTTCGTTGGGCTCAACTACATTCTAATGTATTCAGTTTTTGCTGCATTAATTATTCTGCTGCATTCAGTATTCTACTGTATCTAGTATCCTACTTTATTCAGTATTATACTGTATTCAGGATTATTCTGCATCCAGTATCCTACAGTGTTTAGTATCCTAAAGAAGCGCATTTAATATGGCACTTAAAAATGTTATCGTTCAGCGACATGAAAGTTTTCCTGATAAAATTAAATTTTAGCTTTTAGATTGAAAATTTTTGGCCGCAATCTTTATTTCCATTTGCGTGCGGCAAAAATAGAATCACTTCATCTCTTGAGAGTATTTTTATTACTGTTAATCTATATTTATATGCGTAACAATATAGTTTAATTAATATTTTTTGTAATTTCATTATTATTAATTTATATAATTAGATAATTAATATTATTTGAAAAAATAATTCGTATTACTGAAAGCACGACACAAGCTAGATTCACACGCTACCTATACGCAATATACATTCCTGTATTCACACATTCACACATTCCTAGTCATTTCTATCTGTGTGTACAGCCCCTCAATGTATATGGCAAGATATGCAATCTGTATTTTTTGTGTTATGATATTCCACCGGAATTCTGGAATAATTATCAATTGATTGAATCATTATCAATCATTATTCATAGGAAAAGGAACAGGAAAGTGATTTAAAAAATTAACGGTTATACGCAAAAGTTTCATTATTTTAACGCGTAAAAAACAACATCAAAGTCAATACAGGAAAATCAAAGCAATTACAAATTAGAATAATATTCGGAGACTTGACAACAGATTTTGTACTTCAAATATACTATATTATCTACTAACTTTCGATAATAATTCTTCTTGTATGTTTATTGATACACCTTTTCATGGCTAATTTAGAACAACTGTTTGTTGCTCGAATATCAAATCGTATTTATACGTATTTCATCAAGCTGTATGTAACACACATGATGATTATTTCTCGATTATTGAATTATTTAATCATTTTCCCACTGGATCATAATCATCGTATTATTTCAATTGTATCAAAAATTATATGTAAAACTAATTTTGAATCCCTTTCGTCCGGTCAAAAATCGAAGTAATAATTAAAACGGATTTTGTATCTGGAAATTAAACCAAAAACCGAATATCATTAATTTTGAAATTAAGTTGATTCTTAAATGAAATTTTGAAAACTTTCAGAAAGGAAAACACGCCCTTTCCAATTATTCAGAGATCACAATCCATCTTATTATTTCTTTTTGTGAAGTGAACGTGAATTCATTCAGGCAAATCTCGGCATGTATTGCATACAGTATTCATTAGTTATTCTATTAATTTTCCATACAATATGAACGCGTTGTATGACGCAGAAATACCAATCTACTGATATAAAGACACGTATAATATGCTTAGAGCGTTCATGCGTATAAGACGTATAATCAAACCATAATATTTGTGTATAACTACGTGAGTAATGTTATAGTCTCTTTAGCGTGTACGTAATTAGATATATTATACAGCTGTATAAACGTTGCTCTTCCATGCCATGTGTAGGCACGTAACCGATAACCTTTGGTATTGTATGTAATGAGGCCACGTACGTAATCGGGCAACGTACGTAATGGGTATATGGTGCCACGTACTTAATGGGTAATAAGGCTGGTGCTACGTACGTACGTAATAGGTAGATTGTGCTTGCTAAGTACGAAATTGGCAATGATTCTGCGTACAGAATGAACAGTAAGGCTATGTAAGTAATGGGTAAAGGTTCTACATACGCAATGTGTAAAGTTAATCTTTATCTTTCACGTCTCGCAATGTCTTCCATCGCGTGGGTTTAATCAATGCATAGCCACCTCATAGCCAGCGCAGTCAAGGAAAGTTTTTTGAAACGTTTTCTGAAACGTTTTCTGCAACGTTTTGTGTAACATTTTCTGAAACGTTTTCTGAAACGTTTGATGCAACGTTTACTGCAACGTTTTGTGTTACGTTTGTGCAACGTTTTCTGCAACATTTTCTGCAACGTTTCGTTTAACGTTTGTTCAAAGTTGCCTTTTTAAATGCTATTTGTAACCAAAATCAGATGGCAAGCTTGGTCTTCACACTTAAAATGAACTAATGTTATTTGTGTAAAGCTCACCTATCATTAAAATGTATTTATTTTCTGGACAATTTACATATGAAATATTGAATATTTAAATACAAATTCTACGTTTCTTCTACGTTTGCTTTAAGAATATATTTACAATATGATGAAATCAATTGTAGTGAAAAAATTGTTTCGTTCCCATGAATTGCTCTTGAATTCTGGGTCGACTTATAATTATTGATCTTAGCGTAATTATTCGCTATTCTGACATCCTGATATTCTGATGTCTAGGTATTCTGACATCTATGTATTCTGATGTCTAGGTATTCTGATGTCTAGGTATTCTGACGCGTAGGTATTCTGACATGTATAATGGAATCTTGGAATTCCTACATTTAGGTATTCTGTGATGTAACTGCATTTCGTATTGTCTTCCATGTAATGTTAAGAAGCCCGTACAATGTTCAGACATAGCAGACATGACATATGTCTAGGTAGACATACAAGACATGGCATGTGTCTAGGCAGACATTCAAGACATAACGTGTGTCTAGGTAGACATACATGACATAACATTTGTCTAGGCAGACATACAAGACAAAACATGTGTCTAGGTAGACATACAAGACATAACGTGTTTAGGCAGACATACAAGACATGGCATGTGTTTAGGTAGACATACAAGACATGAAATGTGTCTAGGCAGACATACAAGACATGACATGTGTCTAGGCAGACATACAAGACATAACATGTGTCTAGTTAGTAATACAAGACTTAACATGTGTCTAGGTAGACATACAAGACATAACCAGACTTGTATGGCTTGAGAACGTATCTATACACGCTCCTATGTGTAACACACGAGGCTGGAATCGTGCGTGTGTGGATATCTTCTCAATGGGGTATACAGATGTATTAATATTTCATTCATTCATACAATTGTTCCTGTATTATGTGTACGTAGTAAGATATACATGAATATGGGCTGCGAATGTTTTAGTTAGGTTTGTATTACACATGCAACACAGTGAACTGCACATACCATGTGCTGGTTACTGCTGTATACTGTGTACTGGTTACGGCTGTATACTGTGTTATTTATTAAATGTTTTAGAATGATTTATTAACAAACAACAATTTGTTTCATGTAATCCAATGCTATAAACCTATCAAATATCTATAAGATTTCTAAATCTTATCTAAAATATGTAAAGAATTTTATAATTAACACGCAAAATGAATGCTCTATAATTTTTATACGAAACATTTACATAACTTAATTTTTCATTTAGGTATAATTTTAGCGAAGGCTCGGGATCGTCGTCTGCAGAGACTCAGCGTCTCAGAGGCTGCCGCTGAGTTGCGTGCCAGGCGTCAATCTTACAGCATTCAGAGCGTTACTTTCAGCGGGCGTTACTTTCAGCGGGCGTTACTTTCAGCAGGCGTTACTTTCAGCACTTTCATGAGGTGTTACTTTCATGAGGTGTTACTTTCATGAAGTGTTACTTTCATGAAGTGTTACTTTCAGCAGGCGTGATTGCTTCAATCATTCATAACTATTCTTATACGTATATTGCTCGACAAAATATTTTTATCACTAGAAAATACTAATTGTCATCTTTTCTTTATTTCTCTCAAGTTTAAAAGACATATCTTAATTTTAATGGAGTCCAATGAACATGTCTCTATCAAAACTACTATTGAAAACATATCTTTTTACGAATCAAGTTTTTAAGACGAACATATCTCCATTTTCATCAATATTATGAACCCTTTACAAATCTTATATGGGACAGCATATTATAATATTGGACCGCCTCAATTACGATTGTGTTTCAAAGAAAAAAAACGCGTCTTGACTGAAATTAGCAAAAATCTTTTTTTTTTTCGTAGTGATTGTTAAAATATATCGCAAATATAATCGTTCTAAACAGTTTATCTCGTGCTAAACAGTTTATCTAAAGTTGTGTTAAAAAAGTCTATCTTTCATGGAATTGTGTCAATATGATTTATCTCTAATATAGTTATTTAAAAACAGCACGTATCCATTATGATACATATCTTTACTGTAATTGTGTTGAAATAGCATATCTCAAAAAAAAGCATATCTCCATTTAAAATTTGTTCAATGGAACACAGAACCATTATAATTATAAAAAAGATGAAACAATTTTGAAAGAAAACATATCCTTTGAATTGCGTTGAAGAAAACATATCTACACTATGAATATGTTGTAAAGAAGATGGTTCCTAATTAACATGTTTCTCGTGCGTATCCTGCTACTGCAATTTTTATCTATTGCGATATCAACCCAATTAAGTACTTATTAATTTTATTCTTTATATAGAATGTAATCTTTATAGTATTACCTCACTGTTCACAACGTTGTCGCTATATATATGATTTTATGAAACACTTTTTAATGGTCGGCTATTTCCCTGGCTGCTCAATGGAAATATGGCCATTGATGTAATGTGAACTCAGTCGTACGATTATTTCCATTGAATGGGAGATCAGTCTTCCATTAAACGCCTGTATTTAGAAGCGCGTCTAGCATATTTCCGGAAATAGACATACGGTCTTGCGATAGTCTTGAATTAATATTAAATCAGTTTTCTGATTGTCCCAAATTAATGGGAATTCAGTCTTTCGATTATCGAAAATTAGTTGGCATCCAGTCTTCCGATAATCCCAAGTAAATGGGAATTCAGTCTTCCGATTATCCCAAATTAACGGGAATTCTGTCTTCCGATTATACAAAACTAGTAGACATTCAGTCTTCCAATATTCACAAATTAATGCGAATGCAGTCTTCAGATTGTTCCAAATTAATGAGAATTCAGTCTTCCGATTATCCCAAATTAATATAGGCATTTAATCTTCCGATAATCCCAGATTATCAGGAATTCAGTCTTACGGCTATCCCAAATTAATGGGAATTCAGTCTTCCGATTATCACAAATTAATTAGCATTTACTCCTCCGATAATCCCTAATTAACTGGAATTCAGTTTTCCGATTATCCCAAATTAATGGAAATTCAGCCTTCCGGTAATCTCAATTTAATCTGAACTTAGTCTTCCGATTATCCCAAATTAATGGAATTCAGTCTTCCAATAATCCCAACTTAACAATTTAACTTGAAATCAGTCTTCCTATCATCCCAAATTAATGGGAGTTAAGTCTTCCGATCATCCCAAATGACTTGAAATTCAGTCTTCCGATCATCCCAAATTAATGGAATTC